AGTTTTCCAAATTTGGAAAACGCTGATGCTCAGTGCCGCTGCAATGAATTTGCATACTTACACCTAGTGGTGGGTCCGGTCCCGCTCCGATGTCGATTCCATTCCGGTACCTCCATCCTCGTACCTTACCGATTTACACCTACCCTTCCGCCATCCTACCCCCACCCTCGTACCTCCATCCTACCCCCACCCTTCCGCCATCCGACCACCATCCTACCCCCCACCCTACCCTTCCCTTATCTCGGCCCCACCCAGATCTAGGGCCCACCCTATCGCCATCCTATCCCACTACCCCTTCCTTACCCCAACCCTACCCACAACCCCCACCCTTACCGCCATCCTACTCCCCACCCCCACCCTGGTCCCGGCCCCACCCTGGTCCTGACCCCACCCTGGTCCCAGCCCCACCCTACCGCCATCCTATCTCAACTCCATACCTTACCTCTACCTTACCCCAAACCCTACCCACTACCCCACCCTTACCCCTAACCACGACCCTAACCCACCAACTACCCGCACCCAACCCCCTACCCCTAGACCTTACAACCCCACCCGACCATACCCCTTACCCCACCCCCACCCATAACTTCCCTACCCCAACCCCTACAAGTAGGTATGGGTGGGTATGAAGGGTTGTGGGGGAGTATGGGTAGAGTGTAAGATCGTGGTAAAGGTAGGGGTCAAGGGTGTGGAATTGGAGAATTGTGTGAAAAATTGATGAACATGTTTTCAGATTTGAAAATGGAAAACTAAAAAATAGAAACAGAAAATTGGAGATACAAAAACTGAAAAATAAAAACAGAAAACTGGAGAACGAAAAATTGAAGTAGAAAATTGGAAAATTTCTCTGTTAGTAAACAGACCCTAAACTTCTAAAGAGAATTAGGTAAAGAATGAGTAGAGTGAGTAGAAAGAAACAAGAGCACAAGAGAAATGAGAGGAGAGAGGAGGGAACGAGATATATTTATATCCCATACACAAGATAATGTAAACCCTTATGCACAAATAATATTTATCGATAGACGTAGTATGATGTAAGCCCTTATGCACAAATAATATTTTCCTATACACGTAGTATGATCTAAAGTAAATTTTTTTAGTCTTTACTAAAAGCAATGCATGGTGATCTCTGGTTTAGCTTATCAATTTTATCAATAAGTAATATTGAAATTATTTTCCATGACTAAATCAACTGAAGTGACTGTAGCAGATCATTTAAGCTATTTTCACATTATTTTTTATTTTTTGAATAATTAGCAGCGGGTCATGATTAAAAAGTTCTTAACATGTAAAATAAGAATTAATCTCAGTCGTCCAAAAAGTTAATCTGATGCACAATAAACCTTATTTGTTGTACTTTTCGAATAAGTCTTATCTGATCCACTTTTCAAAAAGTGCACCAGATAAGGAAAATGCATTAGATAAGAGCTATTGTGCATCAGATTGACAATTTGGACAGCTGAGATTAATTATTATATTACTCTCTCTGTCCCCTAACTTTGTCCCGTTTTACCTTTTTCGTCCGTCCCATTAAGTTTGTCTTATACTAATAGCATATTTGGTAATATTTGGGTGATTACAATTCATTCTTACTTTATTCACACTTTATCAATTCAATACCAACCACACAATTCTACTTTTTCTTAAAAACCACACCACACTCCTTTGTCCCAAACTTATGAGGGCGGAGGTAGTACATGTTAAGATGTAAGCCTTAATTATCTAATGCACTTTTCGAAAAGTGCATTAGATAAAGTTTATTCAAAAGTGCATTAGATAAGAGTTAGCGTGCATCAGATCGACAATTTGGACAGTTGAGACTAATTCTTATTTGAACTCAACCCTATATATAAACATATAAATATTATTTTTATCCTTTTTATTCTATCTTTTTATGTAGGAAAAAGGGTCAAAAAGACCCTCTTACTATATTAAAAATATCACTTCACCCCTTGTACTAATAAAAGCATCAGATTAATACACTTACTATTACAAAAGCATCAATTGGATCAAGTTACCTGATGACAACTCTCTATAGCAGGTCATAAGTTGATTCCAATTTTTTTTTGTTTTTTACTTTTTTCATTTTTTTCCCGCATCTTCCGTAGTAGTACTTCATACTACCTATGATAGTACTCCGTACATACGTAGTAGGAAATTCACCCTATCAGACCGATTAAGTAGGAAGAGAGACATGGGGGAGAGTGAGCAGATGGCGTGATAATTTAATGACTACATGAGTGTTTGGAGTTACTTAAAAAAGTGTTTTTAGCTTTTGGCTTAAAAGAAAGTTGAAAAAGTGTTTTCAAATGATAACTTCTGCTTAAATTAATCACTTAAAAGCTAAAAGCTGGAAGCAGATGGAAGGGTGCTTTAAACTTGATAGAGTATTTAATTCTAGAGAGATGTGAGAGATAGAGAGATAAAGTGAGTAATTATATTTCTCACCCCCCTATAACTAGTCCCTTGGGGTCTATTTATAGGTAAAAATGTGGATTTGGGCTCCTAGCCATGGGCTTAGGAAGCCCATTACAATAATCATGCCTTCTTTGGGCGAAACAGGGCCACTAATGGGCTGAGTACAATACTTAATAAATAAAGTAGGAAAATGCATTCTGCCTGGACGAAGTCTGGCCGATGCGGTGTAGTTTGGCCGATGCGGTCCCATGGCCGATGCAGTCCATGGGCCGATGCGGTCCCAGAAGCCCAGGTGGCGATCTTGGTAGTCTTAGCCCTCAGGCCGTTGCGGGCCCCCTACTGGCCGTTGCGTGCCGCGTGAGTGCTCTGCTGGCGCCGTTGACCTTCAGAGTGCGTGGGCCATGGGGTCCAGGCCCATATACTCTATCAAAACTGTTTTTCACTTTTTCTATTATACAAAAAACACTTATTTTACCAAACACTACCAACTTTTACTTTTTCAGAATCACTTTATCCCAAACACTACCAACTTTTACTATTAAGTATTTTCTCCAAAATCACTTTAAAAATTGCTTTTTAAAGTAGAAGCAATCGCAAACACTCCCTACATCTCCATGACGGCATCCCCTGGCCTTTTAATAATACTTCTCCAATCACATTAAAGGTGTCATATCTTTCCTTTTCGATTCGTCCCACTAAAACCGTCTCATACCACATTTGCCAAACTTTGTATAACTCTAAATTGTTTTTACTTTATTCTTACTTTATCAATTCAATATCAATCACATAATCTCGTTTTTTAATAATCACATCGTTTCTTAATGTTCCAATGTCAGTGAGGTAGAGATAGTAACAAATAATTTCAATTTTTTTTAGATAATTACATGCAATGCAAGTTATTACAAATGATTTTAGAGATATTACCCAAAATAGGACTAAAACAGTTTGAAAATTCCAAAATAAGACTTTCATGTTTTTATTCCCGAAATAGGACTAATTACTGTCATGTTTTGGCAGTATCAGACTTTAAACATGACAGTATTTTCCAAGTTTGGCAGTAATTAGTCTTATTTTGGGAATAAAAACATGGCAGTCCTATTTTGGAATTTTCAAACTTTTTTAGTCCTATTTCGGGAACTTTCCCATGATTTTATTTCTGCTAAAAAAGTTCAAAAAAGTTATTTTTTTATTTATCAAAATGAAGTATTTTTCAATCTTTAAGGAAAAATAATAATATAAATAATGTGAAATTGAGAACCAAAAGTGAATCAACAAAATCTAAGCCGCAAACAAAATAAACTGAACCACAAGAATTAAAATCCAAACTGAATTCAAAAAACTCATTCGAATCATAGTTGTTTGACTTGGATTTTGATTTTCACCTCTATAAACGACCAAGCAGAACAAAGTGAGCTTCTTAAAACGTGTTATTTTTCATTAATCATTACATATAATATATTTTTAGTTTTTTATTCTTAATATTAGAAAGTTAATACGTAGTAGTACGTATTTGATATTAGATCTATTTAAATTTTAATATATTGATATTTGATATTTGTGATATAATTAAATATAATACTTGTATATACACTTTAGTCTCTTGGTATAGCACTAACATATTGATATTTTAAACATAAATTTATATTTATATTTATATTTATATTTATATTTATATTTATAGTTGCATGACAATGATATTTTATTATTATATTACAAAGTATTAGTTACTTTTGTTTGTTACCACATAACTTTTTATTACAAAAGAAAAATGTACTCATCTGACCCACCTTAGACAAAATAATTATAGTATTCAACTATTTTCAAACAACTAAGCACAAAACGTGAAACTTTAGAATATACGGGTATATATCTTTGCTCAAAATAAAGTAGAATAAGTTATTTTTGATTACTTACTATCAATAAAAATAGCATATAGTAAAAAGGAACACAAATAAAAACTTAACATCAGGCTTACTATAAATAAAAATAGCATATAGTAAAAAGGAACACAAATAAAAACTTAACATCAGGCTACACGGTGCATTCCGTATATAGACAGTAAACTTATGTCTTGAGTTATTTTAAAAAATGTTAAAAGAAATATAGACTCTCTAATTCATTGCTCGGAAAGACACCCATTTCTTCTTCATTTTTAATTACTTTTTAATTAACCATTAACCATTTCTTCTCTAATGTATTATATTTCCATTAACCATTGCTTAATGTAGTTTTTTATTTTTCAATTACTGTATGTTCCCCCCAAATATAATACCAAAATAAAACGTATTTACACAAATATGATTAATAATACTAGTATGTAGTGTCATGATAATTTAAATTTTAAAATTTAACATAAGTTACTACAATTGCATTACTATAATCAATAATCATATGTTTATAAATACTCTTTATTTTAATTGTAAACATGTAATTATTTCTTACTCTATATTTATTTAGGCAAACCCAACCTAAATAAATTGAATCGAATAAATGAATGAAACTTTTTAATTTGATTTGACATGTGATTCAATGATTTTAATTCAAAATTGAACACTTGGAATGGAACTCATCCTTACCTGCGCCTACACTATATAAAAATATTAAGATGGTGGGAGCCAATCGGAAAAAGAATACGGAGCATAAAATAGCCACTTTCGATATGCCGTTTTAAAAAGGCCTCTAAAATAGTACTACATCCATTTATCCATCTCCCCAATACGCCACCTTCTTCGTCCTTCTCTATCTTTTTCTCCTCGGTGGTGCATAATATAATAATAATCTGCAAAAAAGTGCAGAAAACCCCTTCCCCGAAACGAATCTTCCTTACCCATTTCCCAGTGCAGAAACCAATCTTGAAACTGGGTTTTCTCAAAGCTCTAATCTTGAACCTGAGATTCTCTTAAAGCTCTCATCTTTATCTTACAATGGTTCACTACCAGAGAAATTTGAAGAAAGGGGTTGGTTATGGCGAGCATGAAGATGAAGAATCACCTCAACGTCTTGGTTTGGTTTGTGCGAAAATAAGTTATTATTATAACATGAAGAGAGCAAAGCCGAAGTTTCTGTATCTCATCTTTCTTTCTCTCATTTCTTGCTGCTTTATTGTAGCTCCCCAGATCCTGAGTAATTCCATCTCCCTCTATCCTTCTCTCTTTCTTCTTCTCCTTCTCCTTCTTCTTCTTCTTCCTTTTTTTCCTGTCTTCTGATTTTGAATCCCTGTCGTTGTAGACTCGTTTGGATTTGAGGGTGAAGTGCTTGCTCATGGAACCGATTCCAAGGCTCCTTTGTGTTCTTCTGTCTCCAATGGTGCGTCTTCTTTCTTGTTCGTTTTATTTTCTTGTTCTTTTTTTTTTTAATTTTCTTTGAAGAAGTGTTTGAAGCTGTTTTTGCCTAATTGGACATATTATTTCTATTCCAATTTTGGGTTTAACTATGTTTGAAGCACTATTTGTGACAGGAAAGAAAAGCTAAGCCCACGCTTTAATAATCCCTTTCCACTTTTTGCACTTCTAGTTTTGCTGTAAAGTTAGCAGCGTTTTTGGTAATTAATATCCAAATCTTGTTAATTAATGTCTCTTAAATTAGAAATAATTTTATTTTTTAGTTAGATAATGTATTTTTCCATAGTTTTTCATCTTTAACGTTAAATAAGTCACTTTTCCCTTCCTCTTTGAAATCCCATAACCAAACAAGTCTTGAAAATTTTAATTGTTTTTAATGGTCTCACGCGCCTAAAAACTTTTATTTCAATTGTTTTTAATGGTTTCACGCGCCTAAAACTTTTATAAATAAAAATCACCCACATTTCAAAAGTCACAAAAAGTACTTTTAAGTTTATATCGCCAAAAGTTCTTGCTGAAAAGTGATATTAACACCTGACTATCTGAGGGATAATGTAATCCAAACAAGAGGGAAATTTACTGTGATTAGATGCCTCAGTTATGTTTTTGTGTGGAAAATTTAAAGAAATTACTGCAAACATTAATGGAACAGTATAATTGCAGGGACAATGTGCTGTGATAGAAGTAGCTTCAGGTCAGATATATGTGTTATGAAAGGGGACATAAGAACATATTTTTCTTCTTCAAGGATTACCCTTTACACAACCAAGAATATCAATGAGGTGATTTCTCATGAAAAGATCAAACCTTACACAAGAAAATGGGAAACAAGTGTGATGGACACCATTGATGAACTAGACCTTGTTATCAAGAATCATAAACATCACCATAATCACAGGAGGTGTGATGTTCATCACACTGTGCCTGCAGTTTTCTTCTCCACGGGAGGGTATACCGGTAATCTTTACCATGAGTTCAATGATGGAATACTTCCACTCTTCATCACTTCTCAACATTTCAACAAGAGAGTCGTCTTCGTTATCCTCGAGTATCATAACTGGTGGATCACCAAGTATGGCAACATTCTCTCACAGCTCTCGGACTATCCAGCCCTCGATTTTCGAGGAGACAACAAAACACATTGCTTTCCGGAAGTCATTGTTGGTTTAAGAATCCATGATGAGCTATCTGTTGATTCTTCATTGATGGATGGTAACAAGAACATCATGGATTTTCGGAAGCTTATAGACCGAGCGTACTGGCCTCGGATACAAGGTCTGATAATGGAGGAGGAGCATGTAGCTAGAAGTAAAATGGGAAATCCCGCATTTTCGCCCTTGCCAAATGTCTTCTACGGGATGGCACCGAAGTTGGTGATAGTATCTAGAAACGGGTCAAGAACACTAATGAATGAGGAGTTGTTGATTAAAATGGGTGAAGAGATCGGGTTTCGGGTTGAAGTCTTGAGACCAGCTAAGACGACTGAGCTTGCAAAAGTCTATAGGCTCCTTAACTCAAGTGATGTTATGGTTGGAGTACATGGGGCTGCAATGACTCATTTACTCTTCTTGAAGCCTAAGTCTGTCTTTATACAAATAATTCCTTTGGGAACAGATTGGGCAGCAGAGACTTACTATGGGGAACCAGCTAAGAAAATGGGGTTAAAGTACATTGGGTACAAAATCCTTCCTAAAGAGAGTTCCTTGTTTGATGAATATGACGAGAATGACCCTGTACTCAAGGACCCTGATAGTGTGAACAGTAAGGGTTGGGAAATAACTAAAAAGATATACCTTGATCACCAAAATGTGAGGTTAAACCTTGGGAGATTTCGAAAGAGACTTCTTCATGGCTATTATCATTCCATTGCCATGAGGAAAGGAGGGCAATTTGGTCTTCATCAAAGCCAATGATTCATGTGATCTGAAAAGTGCTGGTCAGACCTGTCCTTGAAGAATATGTATATGGCCCATGAAAGGTGTAAAACACTTGAAACCTGTGTTGTAGAGATCAGATGAAATGCTCTTCTATTTTTTTATTTTTTTGTTTTGCTATAATGACTTATGGTTGGGGACCCTTGGGGTAAAAGTGGTGAACGTTAAAAATACCAATGGATCAAAAAGTATGTGCAATAGTGAATAGCCCATGGAAGCTCAAAGCTCTTCGTAATCAGAATGAAATCAAACAGGGCCACCATGCAGTTAAAGTCTGTACGAAATATTCACCTTCATATATATCCAAAATAAGTCGAGAAATTGGGTAAAGCCTTCACCAGGACAATTTTTAATAGAAATAATTAAAACCTCGTCTCATTTTATGTGTCTCACTTTGACTTGACACGATTATTAATAAAGTGATTGAAAAAGTAAAAGTTGTGGTTAATTGAGATTTGAATATAATAAAGTGAAATGTTGTAGGCTACATATTTCTTTCCAAAAAAGATATGAGATACTTATTTTGGGACAACCCAAAAAGAAAAGTAGGAAAGATAAAATGGGACAGAGGGAGTAATTTTTATTAAATCAAAAACATTTGCTAAATGACTTGAGATACAGTTCGGACTACGGATTAACATCAAAATGATTTTTCTGATTACTACTCGCATGTGACAGTGCTACCCTAACAAGCTTATGGACTACACTATTTGTGAATCATTTAAAAAATAGACAATAAACTTTGGTTCAAAATGAAGTTGTGACAATATCAAAACAAGAAATTAAGAATAACCCGAGTCTTCCTATAATATTGTCATAATAGTTTGAGCATCCGTTTCTATAAGAACTTGATCCCATCTAGTCATGGACCCGGTTCGGGCCGCCCGGCCCGCTACTGTGCGGGCCCGGAACCGGCCTGGTTCTCGGGTCCGGGTCCGAGTCGGGCCTAGGCCCGGTGGGGGCGGCGGGTCCGGGCTCGGCCCTTGTATTTGGCGAATTGATTTTTTTTATTTTTTTTTTTTCATTTTTTGGGGTTACCCGGGTTGGGCTTGATGGTTGGGAGGGATTTGGGGGGTTTGGGGGGTGGGGGGTGAGGGGGGGGGGGTTAGGAAAGCAAAAAAAAATATGACCAAACCGGAGGCCCGGACCGGACCCGGACCAGACCCGGTGGCTACCCGGGCCGGTCCTGGGTCTTCCTTCCCCCAAAAAAACGGCCGGGCCCGGCCCGGAACCGGAACCGGCCCGGGTCCATGACTAATCCCATCCTTGATTTTTCACCTGCATGTGATCGCCTCTCTCACACCGTATCAATAAATATCAAACTTAGGATATGCAAGACTTTCATGTGTGAAATAAAAATAAAGATCAACATAAAACAATGCCAATTTAAATATATTTGAAACATTTAACACAAAAGATCATTTGTTACAGTAGCAATCCCCCACAAAAAAAATTATTATTTTTAATTAGTCATAGCAATTTTAATTTATCACATTCAAGAGTTTAACCATTAGAAAAACAGAAACTAAATAAGTTGGTTTGAATCATTAGAGTTGCATGAGATGAGGATGATTTGCCAAAAGAAACTAAGGGTTCAACCATTAGAAAAACAATTGTATAGATTTGTTAGAAAGTTTATTTTGTTACTTCTATATATTTCATTTCTACAAAACAGAAGATTTTTGGGCTATCCTGGGTTTTGAGTCTTTAAATAAAGAGCACTTGTATTTAATTAAGTGACTCATACATTAGATAAACTGATGATATTGAGAACATTAGGAGTATACAAATGCAAATGATGGAAAGAGAAATGGTTTTGAGTCTTTTTATTTATACATTTGTTTAGTTTTGAATTATTTCAAGGCGGCTGGAAAACTGGAATTGTGTTGACAAGGATTTTGTGTATTTATCACCTTACATTACAACCAGAAATACATCTTTTGCATCAACTTAGGATGTTTTTACTTGGACTGTAATTTGCTGGTCTGGTCTGGTCTGGTCTGGTCTGAACTGGTCTGGTCTGGTCTGGTCTGGTCTGGTCTGGTCTGGTAAGGTCTGGTTTCTTTGTATTTTTATAACTATTCAAGTCTGGTCTGGTCTGAACTGGTCTGGTCTGGACTGGTCTGGGGCAAATTGCAGTCCAAGTAAAAGCATCCTTATAGTCTTATCTAAAATAAGTCAACCACCTGTTTATAATTATCATGTAACTAACTCCAATAAAGTCTGAATTAAGATGATGTTGGGCATAATAATGAAGAAATACAAAGCTGAGTGTCATTCAATTTTAAGCTAAGGTGATCCTGAGCACATTTTGTCTCCTAAACATGTATTAATTTTTCACTGTATTCCCTTATAGCTACTACGCATTTCAAATATATATAACACACCATGCTTTTCAAATTTTGTCCACTATTCTGATGATAAATAAGCAGGAAATTAAACATCAATTGGGAACACTCACATTATCAAATTATGATGAAACAGACTGAATGTTTAATAACTGAGAAAAGTAATTTATGACATTACATTGATAAGTCAATGATTATTCAATGAAGAGAAAAAAATTCCCTAATTCATAATAAGTGCTATTAAACATCAAAATTAACATTAGTCATCAACAACTTGACCACCATACACTTCCCACATATGGTTGATGAGATCATTCTTCAAGTCTTTATGCAACCATGTGTCTTGTACAAGTTTTGTTCGACTAATCATCATTGACATGATCAGGGTGAAGTCGTGCTCCAACGTAACGCCTTCAACAGGTTCATCTCCTTCGCCTTTCCAATCTTCAGGGTTAATGCCTTGACTATGCTCATCCTCAATAATCATATTATGTAGGATGATACATGTTTTCATTATCTTTCCCAAGTCCTTAGCACTCCACAGACGAGCGGGACCTTTGACAATATGCCATCGACTTTGTAACACACCAAATGCTCGTTCTACATCCTTTCTCGCATACTCTTGTAGTTTTGCAAATAATTTTTCCTTCACATACGAAGGCAGAGAGATTGTTTGGATTAGAGTAGCATATTGTGGATATATTCCATCTGCTAAATAATAACGCATATTGTATTCATGACCGTGAACCACAAACTTACATGGTGGAGCAATACCATTAATAAGATCGTCAAATAACGGCGACCTGTCTAAAACGGCAACATCATTATTACTACCAGCCATTCCAAAGAAAGCATGCCAAATCCATAAACTCTTAGAAGCTACAATCTCCAAAATAAGAGTCGGAACTCTTTTAAAACCATTAGTATGTGTCCCATGCCAAGCCGTGGGACACTTTTTCCATTGCCAATGCATACAATCCAAACTACCGAGCATACCTGGAAATCCGCGGGCTTCACCCTCCTTTAAAAGAATTTTGATATCAGGACTATTTGGTTTTCTCAAATATTTCTTTTCATAGAGTCCTATAATAGAATCACAAAAACGCTTTAAACTTTCAACAGCAGTGCCTTCTCCGATTTGAACATATTCATCAAGAAGATCAGCTGGACAACCATATGTAAGCATGCGAATTGCTGCAACAATCTTTTGTAACGGGCTCAATCCAATGTTTCCAACTGCGTCATACTTCTGTTGGAAATAGTTGTCGTAGTTCTCGACATCTTTTAAAATTCTCTCGAACAATTCAATATCCATTCTAAATCTACGACGAAAAAGATCTGGACCATACTTTGAGTTTTCACCTTTAAAATAGTCATTGACTATTACATCATGCCGCTCTTTTCTATCACGCCGAGTGTAAGATCTACTTGATGTCGAGCCAAGAGAGCATTTTGTAGCAGTAAGCAATGTAGAAACAATCAATGGAACATTTGAAATATATTCATCGTCAAGAGAATGATCTTAGAGGGGCTCGTGAAACAATTTCTTGGTAAGTTCAAGCTCACCATCACTTGAAAAAGGACTATCAGAATTTGGTTGAAAACTTGATGTTGCCATATCATTACCCTGCACTATGTTAATAAAAACAAACCAAGTGATATCTATATACGATAAAAACAAAAGTCTACAAGTAATTTTATCAATATTTTTTTAAAGGAGGGATCAAATAAAATTGGAATTTAATTTTCTTTACATATTATTTGAGAAGAAAACGAATACGTGATAGTGATTTCCCTGCCATCACCTTTTGCTTGTACGATTAAATCAGAAATGGGGCAATTGGAGATGATGCGAGAAGTAGGAGCAGTCGAGTATGAAACTACGAGTACCTGGTTTCGTGGGGAAGTTGTTTGGCAACAAATAATTTATATTTATTTTAATGTTATTTTATTCCACATGGCAATTTTCATGGGTCGGAAGACTTGGTGCATTGGGGGCTTATTTCATTCCCCACTGTCTAATAACCCCACTACTTATTATGTGGATTAGAAGTCCTCTTAATTTTTTGACATTTGGCATTATTAATAGAGACTAGACTTGCTTGCAATGAAGATGCTCTAAGAATTACTCCGTATTTACTTCACTTGCCTTAATATAAGTGGAAGAGAAAAGGATCAGATGGACCCATCTACTATTGTCAATAGGTCACATAAACCCATGTACTAAAATAAACATCACATAACCACTTGTACTCTAAAAGACCAATCTCATAAGCCAATTTGCCGGAACATGACCATTTTTACCGGTCATTTGCTTCATTGTGTTTTTTTCCTTTTCCGTTTTTTCTCGTTTTTCTTTCTTTCCTGCTCTTCTTGTTCTCAGGTGCCAACTCTTTTTTTTCTTACTCCATGTTTGTCACGCCCCGAACCTAACCGGACACGTCAACAATCCGCCGTACAGTACGAATATTCAACCGCAGTCCAACACATCCATACTATACGAGGCGTCTGGAATATCATTCACACATAGTACATCCATAAACAAACATAATGTAAAATATTCATTCATAGCAGCGGAAACATTCAATACGAGTATTCATGCCACACCTTGGCAAACATGGGCATACAAGCCCCCAAATAAATATTTAAAAATATTATCCATGAGCATTAATTAAATAGTTTGAAAAATGGAAACGGAGGAAGCACGAACCACGTCTCCTCTCCTTGGATCCTCCCGAAAACAACGGCGGTGGTAGGAACCTTCAAGTTCTACCTGAAACTGTGAGGTGGCCTCCCCCGTGAAGGGGAGGTCAGTACTTGGAAGCATTTGACAAGTACAATGACAACTATACTAAGTATAATCAAAGTTTCAATTTCCAAGACCCTCAATCTAAGATGTTATTCATTTGTAATTAACTCATGTTCTCCATGCTAGAGCTCGGCTCATAGTCATATCAATTTGTGCTAGAGCTCGGCTCATAGTCACCCTACGTTTGCTAGAGCTCGGCTCATAGTCATACTAATT